CAGCCTGTCTCCATAGCAGAGGTGCTCCAGCCCTCGGATCATCTTCGTGACCTCCTCTGGCCCCGCTCCAGCAGCTCCGTGTCCTTCTTGTGCTGGGGACCCCAGAGCTGAAGGCAGCACTGTAGGGGGGTCTCAGGAGAGCAGAGCAGAGGGCCAGAATCCCCTCCCTCGCCCTGCTGCCCACACTGCTTTGGATGCAGCCCAGGACACGGGTGGCTTTCTGGGCTGCCAGAGCACATTGCCAGCTCCTGTTGAGCTTTTCATCTGGTTCCTCAGCCCATGAGGCAGAAGACAGTAGCTTAAAGAGAAGCCAAGAATGGCAGCAAATCCGTGCTCGGGGCAACAGGCAAACCCCCTCCTTGCCTACCTCAGCTCCCCAGGTGCCTCTGCAGAACAAGTATGAAGCCACGAAATTAGTCAGATATTGCCAAACAGGAGGTAGAAGTGAAAGCTGGAAGTGAGAGCAAAGTTGATTTAATTTCTAGCCAGCACAAAGGCTCCAAGTCCTGTCCATCCCATGGCCCTGGGCGCTTTGGGGCCAAGCCCCAGCCCAGCTGCACACCGCTGGCATGTGGCAGGGACCCCAAAATAACCGAGTTCTGACGAGGTGTCGGTGCCCGGTTTGCCACAGACGTCTGTCCCTGCCGCTAAAGTCTGCGGGAAGCACAGTGCCAAGGAAGCGCGAGGGCTGGTTGAGCAGGACCTCCGCCGCCTGGCACCGCCACGCGTAGCTGGGAAGGGACCTGCCCTTCTGCAGAGCCCCTCTGGCACTCTGCTGCTTCAAGTCCTGCTTCTGCTTTGCCAATCCCAGCACACCTGGAAGAAGACACTGATCGTGGGGACACTCCTCATCCTATCATCTTCCTTCCCCAGGAGCAGCTGCCCCGAGGAGACGGTGCCATGCTGGTGGGCTCCCTCCTTCTCTGCAGCCCTTGCCCGGCTCCTCTGTCCGCTGCCTGGTGCTGCTGGTGTTTGACTTTCTCACTCCCTGCCTCCCTTGTTCCGCCGGCACTGCCCCCTCATTCAGGGAGTGACACACCGAGGGATATATGTTCCTGCTGCCCGTAAATCCTCGGAGGGTACAATGGTGCCCGAACCACCGATCTCACCCTGCTTCTTTTCAGTGCTTCTCTTTTTTAACCAGACCCCTTTTCTCACTCCCTAGTTGCTGGGAGTGTTTGTTTTCTTTGTTCTTGCAGCTTTTTGTGTCTCTTCCATTCCCACTAAGGCTCTGGTGTCCATAAAGGTTTTGCAGATATCCTGGAGGGGGTGGTTGTGTGTGTCCTTCTGCCTTTGCAAAAAGAGTCCCTGACACCCTCCGTGGGACCTTTCCCCTCCCGTGCCCCTCGCCCTGAGCACACACCTGGCTGAGCAGTCCCGGCTTTACCAAAGGACACGGTGGCACGTAGCCTGACCCGTGAGCCCGTGCCACCCCGCAGCATCCCTCATCCCGCTGGCTTCACTCACCTCACCAGCTCTCGGTCCGGCTCCCCCCTGCCCGGGTGGGCTCACACCTTTGCCCCTCGCCGTCTTTCGGAGGCTGAGCTGGTTGGGGAAGGGCAGCGCAGCCCCCGGCGTTTCCTCACCGCTGTCTGAGTCGACAGCAGGTAAGACCAGATTATTGGGGTGTGTGTCGGAGGCTACACCCTGACGCTGCAGATCCCAACACGCCTGCCGCCCCGGAGTGCCGGCTCCGGAAAGTAGGAGCGAGGACCCAACAGAACCAGGGATGCAGGGAGCTGGGAAGGTGAGGAGAGAGGTGGAAAATATCCTACAACAGAGGTTGGAGAGGTCGGAGAGGATGAACCCCAGTGCTCTTCAGCCCTCCTTGTTCAGGGAAACGTGGAGTTTCTCCGCAAAGAAGTTAAGCCACCTGCGGGGCCATGGTGGAAGAATCAAAGCAGGGCCAGAGCAGCGGCCTTTCACTTTCTGAATGATTCAGACAGGAAAAGCAGAAGCCTCTGGGCTGCTTGAGGAGTTTCATCTTTCGTGGTGCTGGGGAAAGCCGGTGGGGGAATGGCAGGCTCTTCTCCCAGGACGTTTCAGCTCCCTGGTCACACAACTCACATTTTCCTGGACTCCCAGAGACTCTTAGGGAAGGGCTACCTGTCGAGAAGATGGGTGGCCACCACACTGTGCCTACTTAGGTGAAGGGCAAGGACTGTCCCTCTTGCCATGGGGCAGAAAATGAGGGGGTGAGGGGAGAGCTGCCAGAGAAAGAGTTAAGAGAGCCAGGGAGCAGCCGGGCTGTTCTGTTTGTTGTAGCTATGCGGGCTGCGGGGTAGCAGAGAAGAATCTCCAGCCTGGAGGAGACAGATGAGAGAGGGACCTCAGGGATGGTGGCTGGGGATGAGGGAGGCAGGAGGTCCTCTCCTCTCTGCCCCCATGAGCTGTCACTGTGGGGTTTTTTAAAGGCTCCGTGACAGAGTGATGACGAGCTGGTGGGTCTAGCGACAACGGCTTGGCGCTGCCAGGTTTTTCCTGCGTGGAAGGCTCTGTCTGCTGCTGGCTGAGTCTCGGGCTGCCTCTTGCTGATGAAGTGACTTGACTGTGGAGGAAGGCAACCAGATTGTCTGCTGACAGCACGGCAGAGACTGGGGGCATGACACTGCTGCTGTCCTCAGCCATGTGAGCTCCCTCCGACGGATACCCATCCCGGAGCCCTAGTTCAGAGCTCTCCTGCGTTGCTGCTGGAGATATAGGTAGGGGACAGCGTTGGAGTGGACGCCCTCCCAGAGCCAACCTGGCATTATTCTGTGGGCCACTGGGTCTCCGATGCCGGTTGGCACCCCGAGGCAGCCTGTGGCCACCGCCCACGGCAGGGGGTGCCCC